AACTGGCTTCCAGATTGCTAACCAGACTCTCCAGATCCATTTCCACCAGCTGTGTCCCACAGGAGGCATGAGAGAGCTCAGCAGTCCTTTGTCTATTCCCACCTCTCCTTCATTTTGGGGGCTGGAGGGAAAAGGATCCCAGCAGTGGCAGTGTCTCTTTCTACTCTTGTCCAGAGGGAAAAAAGTAATTTTCTTGTTGAAGCAGAGCTGGGTGAAGTCTAACCCAGGGTCAGATCCTTGTTCAGTCACACACAGCAGACCTGTGTTTGGTGGCTGTTCTCACTCAGGCTACAAACACCCATCCTCATGTGTAGGAATTAGGGATTGTTGCTCCCTCATCACCATTTTCCATCTAAAGGGAGCAGCCAAACTGGAGCTGCCAAGAGCAGCAGAGGGAAAGCAGCCAGAGCAAGCAGAACACCCAGAGGATAAGATGCCTGCTCCCAAACTTCAGCCAGAAATGTCTGAAAGGCTCCTGAAAGCCATGGATATTCAGCAAAGAAGCTCTGTGGGAGCTCTTTGGGAGAGGCATTTCTGCCAAAGGCTCGTCCACCCACTCTGACTACAGGGAAGAGGGTCTGCCCTCTTTTCCTCTCGTTTATTAACAAAAACCCTTCCTGGGAGATTCTGTGCTCCTGGGGATGGCTGGATGGGTTTGTGCCTGTCCCAGAGAGCAGCACCATGATCCATAGCCATGGCACTGCTGCTGGTGCTCCAAACCAGCTCCCTCTGCGTGTGCAGCCTGTGAGCAGCTGAACAGATTTTAGCCCAACTTGAAGTTTGGTGAGAGATGCAGCCCAAGAAATAATTCAGACTTGACTCAAAAGGGGGACCCTGATGCAAAGACCATGGATTTACATGGTGCAAAGACCAAGGTCTGTCCACCAAGGACCACCACCAGCACCCAAGGTCTTGGTGGCTCAGGAGCCTGGCAATCTCCCCAAAGAGGGGCTGAGCAGGGCTGGTATGAGGGATATGGTTGAAGAGCCACTGTCCCCACCTGCCTGAGCATCCTGTCCACCTCTCCATCCATCCATCCATCCATCCATCCATCTATCCATCATCCATCCATCCATCCATGCATCCATCCATCCATCCATCCATCATCCATCCATCCATCCTCCATCATCCATCCATCCATCATCCATCCATCCATCCATCCACCCATCCATCATCCATCATCCATCCATCCTCC